TCTGGAGCCTGGCGCGAGAAGGGGCGCGAGGGTCGCGCCAGGCTCCAGAGGGCCGCTACGCAGGCTATTATGGTAGTAGATAACAATCAAAACAATATATTACTATATAGGAGTAGGTTACTACAGATTCCAAAGGTGGAAATTTAAGGACTTTTCAATGACTTTGAAGGCCAAGTTTTAGAAAATTAAAGGACCACTTTTGGAAAGGTTGCATAAGCAATTTAAAAATCATTAAATATTATTTCTCAGCTTTTCCATGAAAGTACTGCAATTTTCAACTTGAAAATTGCCTAGAAAAAGCATTGCAAAAACCAAGCCCTAGTCCTCAAATTCAAGTACTTTCAAGGCTTTGAATTTTTAATTTTTAAATTCAAGCACCTTCAAGGACTTTCAAGGCTGTTACAAACCTTGAGTAGGTAATGTATTTGCTTTTAACTGGAAGGAGAAGGGAATTTTTCATCTATTATTGGTGCTGAGTCATAGTTTGTTGCCAATTTATCACCCAGAGGGAGTTGTCAGAAATCAGTAGATTGAAGCAATATTACTGTTCAGTAGTTCATATTGTTTTTAATAGAAAAATCTCTTGTTGATGGCCGCAACAAGAGAAGCAGTGCTATTTACAGTTTTAGTATATTCAGTTAGAGGCATTTGACTTTCATCAAATACCAAGAGGGAATACAGATATTTTGATTTTTTCGTGGGTTCAAAAATACATGTCATACAAAAAACTGAAAACCATATAAAAAAACGCTGTACATTCACCAACATGGCGGCGATGACGTAACGTGCAAACGACCTTTACTTCAATTTCATTATCCTCTGATCTACCCTCACTCAACAATTCAACAAATACTTCTTATCATGTTTTTTAATTTTATTTAATCTTACCCTCTTCGTATTAAGCTTACAAATATCTTTGTAACTCTTCTAACCCTCACATAACGTCGTAGCCAAGAGGACTTCGGTATGCTTGGACGAATACGCACATAAACAAATACCTTCAGTTTTCTGCCCTTTCTTCTGAGACGTTTCAGAGTAGCTTCTGGTATTCTACTGGGTTCTCGATCACGTCTAAATACACGGTTGTGTTTACATGTAAACATAATATGACATAACTCGTTTGATATAGCAGGTTTCGCTTGATATTTCTCGATGAAAGGTTCACTCGTTAAGGATCGCTCTTAAATTGATCTGTCGTAAAGTTCGCGGAACGAACCGTTCCCAAATCGCTCCACAAGTTTTAGTGCACTTCTACCGCGAACGGTGTGTGACTTTGGCGTAATAGCCAACGAATTTCTTTCGGGTACATCAAGCACAAGCAAGGAATATTGTCCACGAAGGCAGCCATTTGCTTTCTTGCTTTAAAAGAAAAGTACGATCTAGAAAAAGTTTACTTATATCAAAAGTTCCTTGCTTGCATTGTCCTAACTGGCTATTCATTTGAGCTAAAAGCGTTTTGGTTGCGAGGAATTACGTTCCAAAAATCGGCATTTTCAAATTGAAATCCGCCATCTTTGTTACGACGTAGCAATAGTCAAACATGCTAATTTTATATCCCTGCTGAAGAGGATGTAAACAAGGAGAACAGCGGCGAGGGCACGCTACTTATTAAATTCTCCACTTGGATTTTAATCTAGCTGAGAGGATGTAGTACACCCATTTATGATTCAAACGAAACATGGCTTGTTTTCAGGGGAAGGAGATACTTCTGTTGCGGAAAAAGAGAGAGTGAAAGTCAACAAAATGAATTTCAAGATGAAACGTCGACTCGCTCAGTCGCACACGTCTTGGAAATCGCGAGTGGTTCTCTTGCGGCAACTGTCAAGGGAAGCGTACAGAAAACGAGAATGTATCCTCCTAAGAATTAAATGTACCAGGACGCTGACTCAACTTGATCATGAAAAGCAAAGGCTTTTTTTTCAAATAGATCCTCGCTTTGGAGTGATAGTTATTTTGCTAAAGAAGACCGCAATGCCCGCTACGGATTCATTTCACATTGCTACCTCGGAATGAGATGAACTATTTTTGCACTTACAGGAACCCAGCTTCGGTGTATAACTGAACACGAGCCATTTGGAACTAATAAGATCAGCCCCAATTGGCATGCAACAAGTTAAAAATGATAGACTTGCATTTTGAAGATCATTCTTCGTATGCGTAAACACTGACAAACACTTAGTTGCCAAAATTAACGGAGACAAAAGGCAGAAGTTGATCGTTACGAATTCAATTTTGTTTGTTTCAGCATTTAACTTTAATTTGCAAAGGTGTCTTTTATCTTTATTGCTTGGAATTAGCTTCAACGCAGTATTTTTTATTAAAATATGTTTGAAATGTCGCGACTTGTGTGAAGTAAAGCATTGTTATTTTCTTCGCGCGCCGGAAAGTCGCCTCTATCATACAATAGAAATTACCTCAATATAACTGAAGCTAAAATGAAACTTTCGATTTCTTTTGAAAGCATAAGCACTGCATAATTACGTCAAGTAGTTGGTTGGAAGACATATTTTATTTTAATTGTGCCCAATTGATATGATATAGTGAAATATGGGCGCCTGCCTGACGAAGGGCAATATTTTGTATTTGTCGCAAACG